ATTTGAGGACATATAAAATCTATATTTTGTTAACATAACTACTGGATCAAATTTTCATAGTAAGAGTTATGAAATAAACCAATTCATTTTTAGAAATTTTATAATTTTTTTTATTGATTATTATACATGAAAAGTTGAGTGTGAATTGTTATTGAGAATAATATGGGTACTTGGAAAAAGATTAAACTCTATGATAAATGATTTTATTAAGACTGAGAGAGTGTGATCTCCGAAAATATATTTTATACTGCATAACTAGTCTAAGTTCAGAGGTATCCAACCTCTGGCATATTTTATTGACTTGTATGATGTGGAATGAATTGATAGTTTCTCTGTATTAGATTGAATGATACAATGAATGTGAATAATTATTAGGTATTTTGATGCATGTTGAGAAATTATGAAAGGTGTTTAATTGTCCTTGAATGAAAAATGATGAATAGATGCCTAATATAAATGGGTATGCATGAGAAAGTAATGTTATTTATGTTATCAAAATAGAAAGAGAAATATTGATGAAATTGAATGTTATGTGAAATGCTAAAAAAATAAGTGTCATGAGAAATATTGAGACACTGTATAAATAGTTATAGAGATACATTAGGGGTATAGACTCTGGAAAAGATTTAGAAAATCTTAGAAAAATGAGAGTGGTGAATGCTTTTGTATTTGGGTGCACATGATTTGCTAAAAATTAAAGCATCACAGGTTACACACTCATTTTTTGACTATACCTTACTAAAAGGGGTCGGGGAACACATGTTGTATTTGTATTGTTACAGGTTAGCCAGCGACTATCTACACATATGTAAGACCTTAAGGGATCCTAGAGACAATGGCTGTGAATTTATGAAATGTGTGTTTATAATAGTTGAGTTATAACAGATTAATTGTTGTAATTATAATATAGGTATTGTAATATATCGGTGGGTGTAATTATAATGCATGTATTGTAATGCATTAATTAATATGGTTATGATACACATATTATGACATGCTGCTCGGCGTGAAAATGCATGAAATGAAATAATGAATAATCAGTTTGAACTGCTATAATATTAGTTAATGTGATATATGAATTTCTATTATCACAGTGTATAACATTTGATTTAAAATATGGAGATACAACTATTATTGTTGTGAAGATTTGTAAATTTGACATTGAAACTAATATTTTTGTTGTATTCCACATTAAATTATGTTTCCTATGTTACTTTGATTTATTTATGAATAAAAGATTTAGTGGGGCAAAAATACTCACCCTTACAAAATATGTTTTCAGTAAATGCTAATTGAAATAATTAAAAAAAAGATGATTCGTTCTAAGATCATATCTTCTGCAAAGTGGTAAGAAGTGCTACTCTGTTTAGATATAATATATTCTAAGGATTGTAGTATTTTAACAATTTTCCATTTTAGGTTGACTAAGTAGTGTAATTATTTCAATTGTCAAATTCAGAATTTATGATATCCTATAAATTTGGTTGTAAATATTATTTTAAAGTGTTTGTAATATAGATAATCAATGATTTTGATTATGGTTTACATTCAGTTTTAGATAAATGTTTACTTTGTTGAAAGATAATATTAGTTATGTTTTAGACTTATAGGTTTGAAAACTAAGTTTAGCATATTGCCAAGAAGTCAACTTTTTATTTCACTATATTTTTTTAAAATTTGAAATATCGAAACTATTTCTGTAAAAGAAGAAATTGTAGGTTTTGCCTTTTTTTTTAATGTAAGTCTTTAAGCTATAAATAAGAAGAAAATGTATTTTATTTCTTCTTTTGCTATACATTATTGTACGTATTTGAGATTATTGTACATATTTGAGAGTTAAAATTTTAGGATGTTACACTTAGAAATGAGTCTTTCACAACTAAAAGGATGAAAGATGGTCAAATGATATTTCTAAGACCCAGTTCTTCTTGAGATCCAAAAGAAAGCTATAAGGTTGTGATGGAAGATGTTGTCCAAAAGATCAAGATCTCTTTAAGCATTTCAAAATAAAATAACTCTTGAGAAGGAAGAAAATGAAAGAATAGAAGTGAAATTGGAAGATCAATCTTTAAGAAACTTACTTGGAATCTAGGGGAAGAGATATCCAAGCTTGGATTCGAGAGAGGTTTGGAGTTCAAAGGTGTTTTTTTTTCTAAGAAAGGGAAGTGAGAGAACAAAGAGATGAAAAGGGTTTTTTTGTTTTGAGATATGTGTTTTTAAAAGGCCAAAATCACTTAAATACCTCTTTTTCTCGCGAATTCTGGCTTGAACGAAAAAACTAGACAAAAACTGCTACTTTTCTATTGATATTTTCGCTTAAGTAAGGGTATTTTTGCTTGAGAGAAAACAGACCTTAGAGCTACCCTTTTCTGTCACAAATTTTTACTCGAACGACAGATTTCTCGCTTGAGCGAGAGTACAGGTGAGAAAATCTATTTTCGTGTGAGCAAAGAATTTTTGCTTAAGCTAACATCACTTTTTCAAAAATAATTTTTTTTAGAAAACTCTTCCATTTTATAACAAAAATGCAATTGAAAATTTAGGATGTTACATAAGGCACCCAATGTAATGCTCTAAGGATGAGAAATGTATACTTAATGACTAAAGATGATCATGTTTATACAGTAAATAATTGCTTAAGAATAGGAGTGATAGGTTGCAAATATTAGTAAGGTAATGTAATTTTTCTCATTTTGTTATGTATCTCTAGGTTAGATTTGCAATTACAAAATTGAGGGAAAGATTGCAATCACTTCAATGAAATTTAATTATTTTCTATTCCAAAGGTAATTTTTATTTTAATTACCATTTGATACATAGTAAATGTATACTTACATATTTTTCAAAATTACTAAACACATTATGATACATATATACACATTTTAGCTTCTTGAATTTCCAACTCCTACCATATAAATTATGGCTTGGTTGTTGTTGTGGTTGTAGCTCATAATAATACTTTTTTGAATTGAGAATATATGATATTATAATAGAAACAACCCTATTTCTTTTGGCACTTAGTTTTGTCGTAATTGGTTCTCAATTTATATATTTATATTATAATTAAGTTTTTTTTATATTAGTTATTTTTAGAACTGATGTAAAATCAAATTAAAAAATTATTTTAGAGACATACATTAGTAAAATAACATAAATTAAAGTCGACGAACACGAAATCAATTTTACATTCTCAAATTTTTATTAAAATTTTTGTTTTATCCTATATCTTTTTATGTCATTAACAAGCACAAACTCTTATAGGTATGTCAATGATTTTTGTTACATTCTGTGTTTTCTTCTTTATTGATGAATATTGTATATTTTTTAACATTGTATATTTTTTATTTACAGACTTACAAAAGATTGATGACAAATACTACATATTGAATAAGATTGAGAATGAACTGCATATTGATAAACACTGACAATGAACATTGCATATTTTTTTATTTACAAACTCAATGAATATTAAATATTAAATATTAAATAAATATTAACATGTAAAAAGATAAACATTAACTATTGACATTGAACATTGACACCACTAAAAAATTGTTTGTTAAATTATAGGAGGAATGCTAATACTATTGATGAACAACAAGAAGAATATTTTCAATATGGGTTAGAATGTATACATTTTTTTACATTTGTTAATTAATTGATTTAAAATCTGCTCATTTACTACATCACGTATCTACATTGATTCACCAACTGACATTAAAAGTCATTTTTAACAAATATAAAAGGCTTTTTTTTGTACCAACGGTTCTAAATAGAAGCACTTTATGTATCTACTTATGTGAGTTTTAAAGCATTGGTCGCTTTTTACGAAATACTTGGGCAATATTCTTTCAAAGCACTCCTAAGCACTTTAAGGTGTACATAAAGGCCTCAAAGATTTATGAAAATATTTTTTAAATATTTAGAATTTAATTATTAAAATAATTAAATAGTATTTTGTTTTTATTTCATTTTAAAGTTTTAATTCATAACATCTAATAAATAAATAAAATTTTATTTTAATAGAATAATAATTAAAAATTGATTAAGTTTAAATTTTTATAAGTGTAAAATAACTAATCATTTTAATAAAACAGTTGATTTTTAATTTTTAATATTTTTCTTTATCATCATAATAATAAAATAAGTGAAGTTAAGATTAAAAAAATTTCAACGTGTAAAATTGTAGGTTATATAGAATTTAGGGTTATTAACTGTCCAGGTACAATAACATCGTCAAAGTTAAATTATTATTAATATTAATTTATATAATTTTTACTTTAGTCGTTATGATTATCTTTGATGATATAATTTTATATAATTTCGTTTAAATCTTTTTTACTTACATTGTAAAGTTATGTTATAAAAAATTATAAATTTATAAATAAATAACAAACTTGTGTTATAAAATTACTATTTTCGAATCGTAAAAATGTAGATTATTCAACTTTGTAAATTTTATTTATTAAATTCTTTACATGAAATAGTTTATTTTAATTTTTCTATTAATTTTTTTGAATTAAAAGAGGATTAAATAAATGATATTTGTAAATTTATTAATGAAAAAATATTAATGTAAAATTTTTACATTATTAAATATAACTTTTAAAATAAATTTAAATAAGAATTTAATCTATCTGAATATTGTTTTTGAAACTAATTATCATAAAAAAAAAATTTAACGTTTTTTTCTAATATTTTAAAGAAATAAAACATTTACAATATTCTGTTTAATTAATGATTTATAGGTTTACTTCTTTTAAACAAAAATTATATTTTTATCGTCACATTTAGCTTAACATAAAATACTAAGAATATTCCAGATGCCCGAGAAGTCAGATCAGAATACCAACCCCCAATAGTATGTTTTTCTTCGTAACTGCTTTAAATATTAATTTTTCTGTCTCTACATTATTTGATGAGTTGGACTCACATGGCTCCAGACATTTTTATAAACATTTTTTTCTTTTTTAAATTTCAGTGGAGAACTTCACATCATTGAATCAATAAATTATGGGTTGCTACTTGCTGGATACATAATAGTGTTTTTGCTTCCTCCGTTCCCAATCTCAAAATCCATTTTCGAACTTCAAAGTAGCCTCTTACTGTCTCTGCGATCATTTCAGGGATGGCTGAACAAATTCCATTTGCTGTTACTTCAAATCTCATTCGCAGGTTCGTTTCCGCACCCTTTCTTCAACGTTTAACTCTATTTCCCGTACCTTTCCATTGCTCTTCCAAGACTTCATGTGTGTGCCTGCTATATTATTTTGGGAATTTCTACTTTTCTACTGAATTATATTTTAACTGAAATCAAAGCAAATCATAATCGATCTAACATTTTAGAATAATTATTTTGTCTCCAATAAAATCAGGTCTTCAATTAAAAAAATCTAATATCTAAAATGCTAACAATGATATGTTCTCTTTTATCTATTAATATATTATTTAAAAAATATTTTATTAGAATAGATAATGTCATGTAAAAATGGCGCAATCAATTTTTTCGTAGGAAATTACAATCTTCTCTCAGAACAGATGGATATATTATGATACTCTCATTTTAATTTTTTAGGAAAGAAAGTTATATAGTTTTAAAATAGGAGAGAGATAGTAGTGTAATATATGCATCTTTTAAGATAGAAAATTTTAATTTAATATCCTATTTATTGGCCAGAAGAATTTTCTTTTTATTGTTTCTTCATCAATCATGATTCTTATATTTTAGTAAAAATAAATATTGGGCTGAATCAAATTAAAATAATTTTAAAAAAATTGATTATATTTATCAATTAATACAACAACTCAATCATGATAGTAAAAAAAAAAATTAATTTATAACGTTTGTAAAAAAAAAAAAGTTAAACATAAAGAGATGAATTAATTTGTTATTCTACACAGATTCTTTTCATTTTTAATCTAGTCCTTCTAGTTAAACTGTTTTTAATTAAATTTTTATAAAAAGATGAATTAATTTGGTCACAATACTTTGTTTCTTGCTCCACCATCCTACTAGATTTTCTTCTAAAAACATACAATATCTTGAAGTGAATTTTCTATCTATAATGAAACCTGCATAGTCAATATTTGTATATACCTCTAAAGCAAGAAACCCTCTCCTTTTAAAGAGAATGTCTTGTTCAAGACTTCCTTTTAGATATTAGAGAATCTTGTTTACTGCTTGTCAATGCCTTTCAAGTTGATATAAATTGGCTAGTAATGCTAACAATATATGCAATGTGAGGTATAGTATGAAATAAGTAGATTAACTCTTCCAATAGTCTTTGGTATCGAGCTTTATCTACAGTACGCCTTTTTTCTTCTCCTTTTATTTGACATTTTTGTTCCATGAGTATTATGGTAGCTTTAAATCTCAATTTTCAATTTCCTTAAGAAGATCAAGAACATATTTTTTCCAAGAGATAGAAATTTCTTATTTCAAGTAAGCCACCTCAATTTCTAGGAAGTACTTTAAGTCTTCTTAGATCATTCATCACAAATTGAGCATCTAGTTTATCCTTCGAGTTTTGTTATATGTAACACCCTTACTCTTTTAAGTACTTTTCTTTTGTTATATATATAAATTTTGATAAAACTGAATTAAAATAGATAAAGGATATGGATAATTTAGAAAAATTTATATTTATATAAATTTTAAACTAATAGAAGTTTACAAAATTTTAGAACTTCATGCATTTGTCTTATTCATATTAGAGATGAAAGTTGATTTTCACAATATAAATTTTCTTTAAGATATATATATATATATATATATATATATATATATATATATATATATATGCAAGTTTAAATTATAAACAAAACTACTTTTTAGGAAATTAAGTTTTGTAACTAAAAATCGAATCTAAATTTTACAAGTAGGATAATTAACCTACTAATTTTTACAAGAACTCCTCAAGTCATCATTTACAACAAGATTTATCAAAATATTACAAATTCTAAAATAGACATTAAAATAATTACATATTGTGGTCCTTACAACACAACAGAGAATATGACTTTAGAACAAATCAAATTTTCAACAAATCTCATTTTACTTCCTAATTTCATTTCATGAAAATATTTGTAAGGGTGAAGATTCTTTGCTCCATTGAACCTTTATTTTATAAAATAATCAATTAATACACAAAACATTATCTAATATAGTATTTTCTTCCTAATCACGAAGGACTTACGCTAGCATGGATAGTCAACGGTTAGCCACCACACACGAATATAACATGTGCATTATATGGCCCTTATAGCAAAGGTATAGTTAGAAAATTAGTTAGGAAATGAATGCGAGGCCTGTGATGTTTTCGCTTATATTGTGCACACATACACAAAAACATTCACCACCCTCATTTTTCCCAAATTTCTAAAATTGACTTTGAATTCTATACTCCAAGTGTATCTCTCTATAACTATCTACACGAAAACTTAACAGTGACAACTTGCACTGAAACTTATCCATACAAAAACTCAACAGTAACAATTTGTAATGATACAATGACAATTTGTACTAAAAATTATCCATAAAGAAACTGAACAGTGACAATTTGTTTTGAATTCTTTTATTCCACATATATCCGTCACCCTTTCATAACATACGTCTTTTATAAATTATTTTCCTTTTTGGTGACATAAACAATTTCAAATCCACACACATAAATACATTCGCACTTTTTTCACATGCAATCAATTTCATACTTTTTTCAAAAATTCAAACTATCATATAATCAATTCAATATGCCAAAGATTGGACATCTTCATATTCAACTTAATCATACATTTTATAATATACAAAAAATAAACCACAGATACACTGCCAAAGATCACATTCTCTCAATTTTAATAAAATCATCTATCTTAAAGTTTTAGCCTTTTTTAGTACACATATTGCTCAAAAACATAATTCACAACTGTACATACATAACAATAATTATAGAAAATCATAAAAACTTATTTTACTCATAACTTTTAGCACAAAATTTTCTCTAGGTAATTTCTGAAACAAATCATAGATTTTTCATACTCCAAGAATCCATTTATTAGGAAAAAAAAACCAAAAGTGGGACTAGAACGTAGAACCCAACAAATAATTGTCAAGTACTAGAGTTTGAGTGCTAGGCAACTAGGATTTTTGGTGTGCAAAAGCAAAGACCCCTCGATCAAAGATTTTGATACAAACTTAAAATTCTAAATTGTATGTTGTTGTTATGCATTATAATTTTACATGCATGTATATGAGTCTAATATTAATATTTACAGAAAATAATATTCTAGATTATCTTTTGATAATTATAAAAATAATGATAAAAATAATAACAATAAATAATCATAATATTCATATTCTAGATTATCTTCTAATAATGATAGAGATAATAACAATAACTAATAATTAAGAGATATTTTCAATATATATACATGTCCTTATTTAATATTTTTTTAATTAACCATGGTATTCATATTTTTTATTGATTATTTTATATTTTTCAAACGTAATTTTTATATATAAATATTAAAAATATGACATTACACTAATTAAAAATAAAAGCTCAATGCAAGTGTAAAAATGTAAAAATAAGAATAAATTATATTAACCAAACAAAGTAATAGATATTAGAATTTGGATGAATTATAGAAATAACAGTATTTACATATATTTAAAAATATAAAAATTAAAAATAAATTAAATAATTTTTTTTAACAGGTATAACATATTAGATAAAGTATATAAAACTATATTATGTTGATATATTTTTTAAAATAATTAATAATTAATTTTATATTTAATTTATTAAAATAACAATTATAATTAATTTTATATTATGTCAAGAAAATTTATTCTTTAATTAAGTTTATTTTATTTATGCTTGTATAATGTTCCATTATGTATGATTTATAAAACCATGAATTATCTTTTTGTATGATTCCTTTAAAAATTTAAAAATAAGAAAATAATAATGTAGACATTTATTCTTGACATCTCATTCACAGGTTGGCCTCCGTAGATTTTATTGAATTTGGAGAAGAGTATGGGGTGAAGGAAGAGTTGGAAGAGCTTAAGAAGACAATTGAATCTATCAATGATGTGCTCCTTGATGCTGACCACAAACAAGATCAAGTTCGCGTACGTAATTGGATATCTGACTTCAAAGAAGTACTCCATGATGCAGATGATTTCTTAGATCACCTTGCTATTGAATTTAGGAAAGACAAATTGGGTGCAGCCGAAGGAAAAGAAGTAAACAGGGTACTTCTTTCCATTTCATCTTCAAATCAATTTCCTTTATACACTGAAATGCCTGACAAAATTAAAGAAATACGAGAAAGTTTTAACGGTGTAGTAAAAGAAATGAAGGATTTGAATTTGTGCCCAAGATCTATTGTGGTCAAGCAAACTGATAGTGGATGGAGGGAAACATGTTCTTTTGTGTTAGAGACAGATATCATTGGAAGAGATGATAGTAAAAAGGAGATTATCAGTATGTTGAGACAACCTCATGAAAACCAAAAAGTTTCTGTGATTGCCATTGTTGGCCTTGGTGGTTTGGGGAAGACAGCTCTTGCTCAATTGGTGTATAATCACGTAGAAGTGCAGGAATTTTTTGAAAAGCAAATGTGGGTGTGTGTATCTGATAACTTTGATGTGAAAACTATTCTGGAGAAAATATTAGTATCAATTACTCGTTGGTTACCGTTAGATTACTTGCAAGAAGAGCTTCGTCAAAATTTAAGTTGTAAAAAATATTTGTTGGTGCTGGATGACATTTGGAATGATAGTTATAAAAAATGGGCTGAATTGAGAAAGTACTTGATGTGTGGCGCTCAAGATAGCAAGATTTTAGTGACAACTCGAAGTGAAAATGTAGCAAAGGCAATCACTGCTAGCACTTCCTATCATTTGCAAGGTTTAACTGATGAAGAATCTTGGAGTTTGTTGAAGAACATTGCATTTGATGATGATTTCAACGGAGTGAATCAAAATCTAGAATCAATGGGGAAAGAAATAGCCAAAAAATGTAAAGGGGTTCCACTGACAGTTAAAACCTTGGGAGGCCTGTTACGAGGACAAGACGAAGAAAGTGATTGGGAGAATGTTTTACGTGGTGACTTCTGGAAATTATGTGAAGAGCAAGATAGTATCATGCCAATTCTAAAACTCAGTTACCACAACTTGTCGCCAGAAATGAGACAATGTTTTGCTTACTGCTCTTTATACCCAAGGATTCAGAAATTGAAAAGGATGAGCTGATTCAGTTATGGATGGCACAGGGTTACCTTAAATGTTCAACCGCAAAGCAACAGATGGAGGAAGTCGGTAATCAATTTGTAAAGATGTTTTTTATGAACTCATTCTTTCAAGATGCGTTTAGTGAATACGATGAGATCATTAGCTTCAAAATGCACGATTTAATGCATGATCTGGCAATGCTAGTAGCCGGCGGTGATTATTGTTGCTTGGATAGTGAGGCAGAAAAAGTTGAAGGTAGACCCATGCACGTGTCATTGGAATCTTGTGAGGCCATTCATTTGTTGAAATCATTAGATCCGAGCAGACTGCGAACTTTGATTTTGCCGGATGACTTGGAAGAGGAGGAAGATTTGTCGGTTATTACAGAGTTCAAATACTTACGTGTCTTGAGAATGCATCATCTCTCTGATTCCACTGAACATTTGAAGCATTTAAGATACCTTGTTTTAACACAACAAAAAAGTCTTCCCAAATCTATAAGCAATCTTGTTTGCTTACAAACATTAAAACTCAAAGGTTGCGATAAAGAATCATTTTCAGAAGTAGTCACAAAGTTAGTCAATTTGAGGTGCCTTGATGTTGCTGATTATGACTCCGTGAGTGGGATGGCAGGGTTGGGAAAATTATGCTCTCTGCAATTATTATCGACCTTTGTTGTGAGGGACAGCCAAGAAATAAAATATGGCACCCTAAATGAACTGAAGGACTTAAACCTCAGAGGCGAATTAAGAATTGAGCATCTGAATCGTGTGAGAGACGTGGCTCTGGAATCACAGTATGTAAATTTAAGAGAAAAAAAATTCCTTCGTTCCTTGACTCTAGATTGGTCGTATGGAGACATCATCCGTAACAGTGACAGTCTACAATTGTTAGAAAACCTTCAGCCCCACCGCAATCTCAAGCATTTGGAGGTGAATCATTATCCAGGCGTGCTTTTCCCAAATTGGCTTTCTCTCCTCACAAATGTTGTTTACATCTCTCTCTCTGCTTGTTATAATTGTCGCTGTCTCCCTCCGTTGGAACGTCTCCCTTACCTCGAGTCACTTAACATACAGTTTCTTTATGAATTGGAATCCATATATCTCTGCGAAGATGGTTTTGCAGTAAACTTCTTCCCCTCTTTGAAGAGCCTCAAATTAGGTCATTGTCCCAGGCTCAGGGGATGGCGGAGGCGGGGAGATGACATCAAAGATTCACATAATCTCTCCTTACCACTTTCATTTCCTCATCTTTCTCATCTAGATGTCTTTCGGTGTCCAAAGTTGACTTTTCCAAACGTTGAGAATTTAAAAAAATTGAAGATTTCTGATCCTATGAATTTACCAAAGGGTTGGATGCAAAATCTGACTTCTCTCGAGTCTCTTCATATTGGATGGTGTAAAAGTGAAACACTGGAGGAATTTGAAACTTGGTTTAAGGACGACACCGACTGCCTTCCTTCTCTGGGAAAAATCGTCTTATATATGTGTGAAAGGCTAAAGGCTTTGCCAGATTGGATTTGCAACCTCTCAGCGATTCAGCACGTCATGATCTCCGGTTGCCGAAAATTGGCATTGCTGCCCGAAGGAATGAGTGGTCTTATCAACTTAAAGATCTTTGAGGTCAGCAGATGTTCCCTCTTACTTAAAGAATGCCGAACAGAGACAAGTGTTGTTAGTCGCCAAATCGCACACATCCCACAAATAATCCTTCATGATTACTGATGATCAGTTATGATAAAGGTACTGATCTGATTCTGATGCGTATTTATTTAGCGTAAACGTCGTGTACTGTATTTGCTTTGCTAGTAAAATACTTTTAACCAGTTTTGAGTTAGTATTCATTTGTTTCAAAGATAAATACAAATTATCCTAATAATATTACTTTTCAATTGTTAAACAATATCGGAGTCTTAACCTTCAAATATTTAATGCCAATAATTTTTTTTTTATTTGCACCGATACTATTACAAAAATATAATTTTTAAATTAAAATTTAAATATTATATCAATTAATAAATTTTATAAATATACATTTAATTATTAATAATAAATATTTTAGTATATTAATAAGATTAAATTAAAGAAATATAATTATAAAATTTGTATTAGAAATTTATTTATTTATGGCGTAAGATAATAAATTTTATTATTTTATCAATTGATATTTTGTCTACTTATTCAAGTTTTGTTTATTATAATTTTCATTACACAATTTCAAATACATTTGCTAAAATCATACACGTTGACAATTCTTTTTCTTTCTTTATTACTTTTGTTGAAGCAAGTTGTCAGGCAAGAGTCTAATGATTCATGTGATTAAAGATTAAGCAAGTAGAGATACTTGAGTTTATGAAGCAACAACTTTGTTGATTTCTGCTATGTGAGTGCATTTATTGAGGTTGTTATGATATTATCTTGGCCATCCTAATAGGGATAACATCTTTCTAGAAGAAGCCATAAAAACGTTGTTTTTTTCTTAAATTTGACTTGGTGCTTGCTCAATGCAAGTTGAATTGTGTGTATGTTGGGTTCATATTTTTAAAATACTATGATTTCATAGACTATGATTTCATAGTTTTCTTAGGTAATAGACAGAAGAAATTTGTCTAAGAATAGTATCTAATTTCTTTTACACAATAGTAACATATTTATTTAATCAATAATTGTTTTAATATATATGTTCAATATGTATGTGTAATGCTATCTATCATGCACTTAGCTATTGAGTGACATTGATGTTTTTAATCTTATTGTCTATCATTATGTATTTTACATTTTTGATCTATGATTGTAATTCTTTATCACAAGAAGTCTATTGCTATTCTTTACAAGTTTTTAATGTTTGAGCTTATTATTCTTTCTAGAATTTCCTTTTACTTTTTTGCAATTTTGAGTGAGTCAGTCTTCTATTCTTCTCCATATAAGAATAGATTTAGTGCTTTATATGATACACAATTATCATTTAATGTGATTAAATACTACTTGAATAGGATAATGATTGGTATTTATCATATGGCATTGTTCTCTTACTACACTTATATCAAAATCCAATCAAAATGCTTAATGTTTCAAGTCACTTATTGCTTATTTACATATATTTTTTTTATTGACGATAACTATTTTGACTTGAAAGCAAGTAATTTTCACCAAATTCTCTTTCATTTTAATTTCTTATAACAATCAATTGACATACTATCTCTTGTTGATACTTGAAACATACATGAATTCATTTAAAAATATAATATTTAGAGATGAATAATTATTTAAGATAATTTTATATTATTATTTTTAATTATTGAATTACCTTTATATTAAACTCAAAGATAAGGAAAATTATTTTGATAGCGATGTTATGTGAACAAAACTTGTTATACAATTTTCCTTCATTTTTCTTATCACATGAAATATCACGAGACCGGTTTAAAAAGATAAATTGACTTATGATTTTTTTAAGATTATTTGGTCCCATTAATTAAGCGAAAGGATATTTTATGCAACAGTGTCGTAAACAATGAAAAACTCATAGTTTTCTATCTTTCATTTTATTTTAATGCAAAAATGTCATGTTGATAGAAAAAGTAGAAATAACTATTTTCTTAATTTTTTAAGATGCTTTAAAAAATAATGAGTTTTGTTTTATTTTTAAGATTCAAAAATGACATATTAATGATGAAAAATAACTGTTATATTAATTCCAAGTGATATTTATACTGATGGCTTATTGTTTTGATGTGCAATAACTATTATGATCAATTCTTATTTGGATGCCTATTTTATTTGAAGACAAAATAAATTGCCACAATATAATAAAATATGTAAGAAGAATTGTTGAATTTATTAGAAATATTTACAGTTTGATTTTAATTGGTCTGAGAATAATATTAAAGATCGAATCATTTCTAATTGATACGTTGTGAATTTGATTGGATTGTTTTTTTCTCTTATATTTACAAAACTTTGATTTGTTGGTTAATAATAAATAAATTTTCATTGTTAGAGTTAGAATATTATCTAAAATTAATATATAATTCTTTTAGTAGTTAGTTTTTATTAATTTCAGAAACAATGCTTTATAAGTAAAAAGTCAAATTATATATATATATATATATATATATATATATATATAATTTGAAAATAAATATAAATAATTTCAAGTTTTTCATAAAAATACAAATATTTAATGAAAATATATTTTGATTAGTATTTACATTAGGAAAAAATAAAAAATTAATATATTGGTAGTTCATTATGATTTAATTTGAATTAGTTTTAAATATGGAAACTAAAAAATAAAACAATAAAAAAATTTTCATTTTTTTTATTCATGATTTATTCAATGTTCAAATTTATGAATCGATTTACCTATTGAAAATGGTTGATTGATTTTTTAACACTAAGTTGATTATTTAGAATTAATTTTGAGCATGAATGCTAACGTAAAGTCTGTTGTAGGACAGTTAGTGCAAGAGGGAGGGGATGGGAGCTTTGCAGGGTGTAGGAAAGAAGGTAGAATAAGCTAGCTGGGGCTTGGAGCGTGGTCTGATAGGTATAAAAGACTGCAACATTTCATCAACAATTTCCACTTGGTAAGTTCTGAGGAAATGAAGAAAAGAAAGAAAGGATTTGAATTTTGGCAGCAATCCAAGGAAATGCTTAGGTCGGGAATTTTAATGTTGTTTTAGGCTTCTACTTCAGCTCTAACAGCCTGCTCAAGCTTTTACAATGAAGACACTGGACGAACTGAAGAACATTGGTTCAGAATAGGGCAAAAACAACGAAGAAATCTGCAGTGCATTGTTCCCACCACCATTCTTGATCAGCTAATATAGTCCTCGAGCAACTTGGAGCGTAAGAAAAATGAAACCTGTTCAAATTTGTCAGGAAAAAAGTAAATCAACAGGGGCAAAAGTAAATGAGGATATATGTCGCAAACAGAAAGAAACAAAAAAATGCATGTGGCTGATCATTGATAAAATATCAATCCTTTTCATATATTAAACAACTAGACAACGAGGCACCTTTACATGGGAGAATATGCAACTATTACTTGAAATCATGCTAGTTAAATCGATATTCGTGAATCGTAAGATTCAACTTCATTGTATAAATAATAAAATGAAACATAGTAAAAGATTCAAGGCACATCAGTTACAATGACACCAAAAATTGTAATTGCATAAATAATTCATATATATACTTTTAAATCAGCCACAACGACATAGAAAAGAATTGTGATGGTATAAATCAGCCATATATACCTTCAAAAAATAATAGCAACCAATAGCTAGTCACTTTCTAGTTCTAGACCCTAAAAATATTCAAAAAAGTCTAAATTCTAAACACATAATCTAGTCATCCTCTCCAAGATCAATATCACTTAGTTCATCCTTATTTTTCAATAGTAAAGACTTTTCTTGTTCTTCTTCCCCTTTCTCCCCATCTATAAATATCTCTTGATTCTCTTCAATTTGACTCACATCTCCCACAATAGAATTTTCTTCTTATTGGCCCTAACATTTAAGTTTCTTGGACCTATAAAATAAAATAAAAAAAACATTAAGCATATATATATATGAAATAAATTTGTGGTTTGAGATTGTTGGTAGTGGATAGATTTTGATAGAAAGATGACAAAACTTCCATAGGACTTTTTGATCCTAAGGCTCTTGAGGGTAATCTATTGATGAGATGGGTCGCAGTAAGGACAACTTCTCCCTATAGTTTTTTTGGAACATTATTCTGAAACAGTAATGCCCTAGTTTGATTAAGGATATGCCCAATTTTCCTTTCCACTATCCCATTTTGCTGTGGTATTTTGACACAAGAAGACTTATGAATTATTCCTTTCTTTTGGCAAAAGGAAGTAAGGACATGATTGAAAATATCTTTAGCATTGTTAGATCGAAGCTTCTTAATGTTAACACCAAACTGGTTTTTTTACCATGAGGAAATTTTTTTGAAAGACTGAGTTGACCTCAGATTTTTGTTTAAGTAAGAAAACCCATGTGACTCGAGTACAGTCATCTGTAAAGGTGAGAAACCATCAAGCATCCGACACGTTTGGAACAATGGAGGGCCCCCAAACATCAGTGTGAACAAGATAGAAGGGAAATATGCTAATTTTATTATTAATCGGAAAAGGTACACGCTTGTGTTAAGCAAATTTACACACATCACAATGAAAACTCTCAACATTTATTTTGTGAAATAAAGAAGGAAACATAACTCTGAGGATTCTAAAGGAGGGATGTCCTAATCGACGATGATAAAGTATGACTTTTTCTCTGTTTGTTAACACAGATTCTGAGTTGAAGGAGTGACAGATTCTGCCTTGGCTAGACAAACTTGGATCTTCAAGGAAGTAGAGTTCATTCCATTCTCTAGCATGTCCAATCGTCCTCCCTGAATCCTTGTCCTGAAAAACACAATGATTGGTGTGAAATACAAGCTTACATGACAAGTCTTTGGTGAGTTTTTGAATGGAAACTAAATTGGTAGATAATTTTGGGACATGGAGAAAATTTTTCAGGGTAATTGAGGGTTTGATTTGAACACTTCCACAACTAGCTGCAGTTATAAGAGCTCCATCGGGGCAATTTTCCTATTACTAGGGCATGGAGAGTATGTGGAGAAGAGTTTGGCTAATGGTGTCATGTGGTCTGTGGCTCTAGAGTCTACGATCCAGTATTGGTTAAAGTTTGTATCTGAGACATTTAGTCCAAAAGAAAAAGGAAACTCACTTGAGTATGTCAAGGAACGCATACCTGTAGATTTTTCTAATTTGCTGAGAAAGATTCTCACCCATTCTATCTCATCTTGATTGAGGTTAGCAACAGTTTGAGCTGTAACTTCCAGTTTCCTTTCCTCACTTGTTTCAGCAGAAATATGAGCTTGTCCTCCCTTCTTTGAGGAGTTGCCTCTGTGTCCTCCTTCTCGGTCTCTGTTTGGAGGTTTCCCATGCAGTTTCTAACATTTCACTCGGGTATGGCGTGGCTTATTACAGTAGGTGCACTAAAGATCATCTTTCTTCTCTGTGCGTGTGAATCCTCCTTTCATTTGTTCAGCCACCATAGCAAAATTTTCTACTAGAGGATTATGCAACATGAGACTCCTACTTTCTTCACTTTTGACAATTGCTACTGTTTCATTGAAGTTTGGTACCTTCTACTTCTCCAAGATTTGAATCCTTATTTGATCAAATTCATAATTCAAACCAAAAAAGAAGTCATATATGTAACGCTCCAGATTTTGTAATAATATTTATTTACTATATATATATATATATATATATATATATATATATATATAAGAAATTCCATGTGTGTGTTCGAATATTGGATGTATGTATAGATGTATTTATGTGTGAGTGTTGCTTTGGTTCGACTGAGATTGGTTGAAAATGTAGGATAAGGGTAAACTGCAGGGCAGTCTCACCGTAGTGAGAGGATTTCACTATAGCGAGAAGGCCCTGGAAGAAAGGCGCGAGATTGTCGCCTTCTCACTGTAGCGAGAGTGTCTCGCTGTAACGAAAAAGTGGTAGTAGGGGTGCATTTCTAGTTGCAGTCTCGCTGTAGCGAGCGAGATTCTGCAGAAATCAGGGTGCAGTTTCCTCTGAGTTTTTTGCTGCAGCAACAAGAGGCGTCGCTGCAACGAGAGTATGTCGTTGTAGAGAGCATGTTGCGATTTGAGAAGTATTTAAGGGGTTTTAGGTTGGGGAAAGCGTATTTTCTCACTTCCTCTCCGTTCTCTTGTTTGATTCTCTCGATCTTTAACTTTTCTCACTGATTAAATTGCCTCCAAAGTTATTTAGAAGCTAGATTAAAGGTTGAAATCAATTTTGGGATGCTTGGAGGTAAGTTTATGAGTTAGGGTTTTGGTTTCTTGTCCCATTTTCTTGTATTCTCGGTTTCTCATGGGGATTTTCATGTTTTAGGGACGAAAATCTGTGTGAGGAGTTATTCTTCCGTTGAATTCGTGGTGGGTCTTCATTCCAAGGTAAGGGGAGTAAATCCCAAACCCTAACCTCTCTTGAGTAGTATAGAATAGGGGATCCTTAACTACTTTAATGATTATCTAAATGTATATTATAATAAAGGCTTTAAACGAAATGGTCTTCAAGGAATATTAGGATTTTACTAAGTAGACATTGTTAGGGATAGTAGAAATATGCTATTTGATGCTTTCAGTATGATGGATTATGCTAAACCTTAGGATAGACGACCTTATTATCATTATTGAGAAATGTGGGTGATGAATTGTATGATTGGGCTGAGTCCGGAGATGCCCGACCTCTGACACATTGTGTGGATTGTGTGAAATTGCGTGATGCTTTTATGTGTCAGATGAGTATTTTATGATGGGTGAGGTATGTTGGCTTTGGTTGAACTAGTGGTAATGAATGATGGATTGATGATGCTTGCATGGTGAATGATACAACTATTGTGCATGTATTATTTAATATTGAGGTATGTCGGATGAGTGAACTGATGATATGATGCACGCATAAATGAAATACTAGAAAGAGTGATCATAATACGAGAGTCAAACTTAGATGAAGTGATGTGATTACAATACAGTATTGTGGTATGACCTGAAGGGGCATACTCATAATATATGTATTGTAATACACTAAGTTATTTGGCTATGACTCACGTATTATGACATATTGCCCTATAAAAAAGGTATGGAAAAGAATGAGAAATGTGTGTGGATGAGTCATGTTACATGCGGTTGTAAATGGGCTATGAATGGTTCAGAGATACACTGGTGGTATGGAAGATAGGGGCGCTGGAATTACCTTGGGGAAGAGAGAGTAATGGTGACACCAACAGTGAACGTGGGTGCACCATAGACTGCATACTCTCTTTCTGACTAGACCTCTGACCACTACCTTTGCCGAGCGACTCGTAACTGCCCCGTGATATTCGTGAGGCGGGAGTAACCGGTGACCATCCATGGTGTGAATCTATGATCACAGTACTATAGTGAGCATGGCTACGTGCAGTGAGCGCACATGTGTATGTGAAATAAATGTGAAAGTGTGGTGTGTGTAAAGTCGTATAGAGACTGTGCAGTTGTAATATATGCATTGTAACATATCGGTCGATGTTGTCATGATATATATATGTTGTAATACATCGACAGGTTCGATTAGGACACATGTGTTGGGACATATTGATTGACGCATAGTAGTCAATCTCGGATAGCGACACAGAGCGGCCAACCTCAAAAACGCTATAGCGGGAATAGCGGTAGCGGGATGACTGCTATTCTGAAGTTTTAATACACACACATACATGCTGAAAAATATAAAATTAATATACAAATTTGGAACAAAACAAAAAAGGAAAACTCAAATTAGAGAAGGAAATAAAAAAAAATTAAAATAAAGGGTGCAGGAGCAGCCATTGCTTCTACTTGAAGCTTTGAAATTTGAAACAGAACAAAGTAGGGGAATCAAAAGAGAGAAAGAAATAGAAAAAACAGAGAGAAAAGAGAAGAAATGAAAGGAGAAATGAGAGGAGAGCTGAAGAGAGAGTTGAAAGGTGAGTTGAGGGGTTAGGGTCTGCAAGAGGCAGGGAGAAGATTCAGAAGATAAAAGGGGGCTGAAATCCCAATATTACCCCCCCTTAAAAGCCCCAAATGTTAAAAAAACAAAGGGCAGATTCGAAATTTTTAAAGAGAACAGTATAACGGCTGCTACAGCCACGATTTCCGTGATTTTTGGCCACTATTCGCGGCGCGACAGCCGTAACATTGAACCGTGACGCTATAGGGTTGCCATAGTGGAACTGCGCCACTCCGCTCCACTATGCCGTGATAGCGGCCGCTATTGATAACTATGGATTGACATAGTATAATACATGTATTATGACGTGCAGATTAGTAGAAAGGTGCATAATTTGAAGTGATGAACTTGATTGATTGTATCCTGTATGTGTTCCCTTATGACGGTAATTTGGATGATTGGAGTACTATAGCTATTTTATTTTGTGATAAGTAATGTTTCTACTACGGTATATGCATGTAAGTATTTTACTTATGTTAACCAGAGATTTAATGGGGCGAAAAATACTCACCCTTACTAATATTTTTAGGAAATGGATGTGAAGAGGAAAAGAGATGTTTGGCCCATCCTAGGATCATCATCCGAAGGTGTTGGAAGGAAGACTGCTCTATAAGGATTGAGAAAAATTTAAGAAATTGTGTTGTTTCATTAATTATATTTCGTATTGACCAAAATTTGTAAATGATTTTAATGTCGAATTTTAGAATTTAAATATTTGAGAAATTTTGATTGTAAAGAATACTTGAGAACTGCCCTTAGTGAAATTTTGAAATTTATACGTATTGAAAAAGAATTTAATTTTTATCTGCCATGAAAATTTGTTTATTTACTAAAGGAAAATTTAAGGTGTTACAATACACCCTATCCTGTTCAATATATTCTTTCAGAATTGCTGTATCCTCAGAACATTTGGTTTTTATGACCCTATAATGGTCCAATTCCATCCACAGAGACTTCAGCTGATTGGCATATTCAGTAACAGTCCTATTCCCTTGTTTTGCTGCCAAGGTTTTCACTTTTATGTCATATACTTGGGCAACATCTTTGGCTTTAGAGTAGGTTTGCTCTAAAGTGTCCCAAATCTCTCTTGCCGAGTTAAGGAACATACAAGTATCACTTATTTCTGAAATCATTGAATTCCAGAGCCACACCATAATCATTGAATCCTCCTTATCTCGTTTAGTAAACTTGGGATCTTCCTTTTTGAATGTAGTTTTCGTCAGGTGACTTGACTTCCCTTTTCCCTTGAGTATGGTGCGAACAAGTTGGGCCCACTTCAAGTAATTTCTTCTGTCCAAATGATACGTAGGGTGAATATTCTGTAGCTCTCTAGTCTGTTGGGATTGGATATCCCCTTTTCTGGGGTAGGATTCATGACTTCTTCACTTGACATTATGCAAGTAGAGTCGCAAAATCAATAGAGGTTGAGAGAGCAGAAAACAGGATATTTGTGCGATCAAAGCACAGGGAATTTAGCAGCAATGTAAGCTGTAATCTAAGGGTTAATGGTGTGGAATGCAGCAGCAATGCAGGCTACCATCTTAGAGTTAAGAGTGCGTAGACAGAGCCCTCTAGGTCAGGAGCTCTGATACCATCTCAAAAGTAGGTTACGATTTGGTATATTTTCTATTGAAACAATGTCAGAATATATACAACAATTATATGCTATTTTAGGAAACACCATTAATTCCTATGCTATTCTAGGATCCCTTGAATTATGGAATCTTTATTTTTGCATATATGTACATATAAACAAATCTTCTAATTATTACTTTCTAAAAATACTATTCGGAAATTATTCTTTCCTAAAACTACTCTATTTCCCGCAATCTTTATGCTTTTATTGTTTTCTATCACTTTATTTTGTTGACTTGACATTTGATGACTTTTTTTTTATATTGAATTATGCTTTGAGTTGAAACTTACGCTACAAAAGTTGTATTAATTATTTACTTCATTTCTAATGACCTATAATAGTTGTTTTTATGTATTTTTTGTCCACCCTAACCTGCCATGACATTTACCATAACTTCATGATAATTTTTTGGCTATCTGCCATAACTCACCATTTGTGATTGATAACATTAGTGCTTATTCAATAAAGTTTTTTTACAAGAGAGCTTATGCCATAAATTTAATCATAAAATTTATTGAAAAAAGATCAAAACAACTTATTTTAATAAGCTATACCAAGAAGCTTGTTAAAATAAAATAGAAAGAGCTTACGAGAGTTCCAAGCTATTTCTATTAGTTGTCCATAAGCTCTTCCAAAAGTCCCCTCAGTGGTTTATGGTTTGTTATTCCAATGTTGCTAGTAGTATTTTTTTTCTCCACTCTTCCACAACATCAAGAAAAAGCTTTTAGAAAATTAAATTGAATGTGCCCAGCAAAAGAAGATTATCTTCACGACAATCAAGTTAACATCAGAGTTTCCCTCATCCTCATGAAAAATTTCCAGCAACCGAGACACCTACTATTTTCAAGAACACATAAAAATAAGAAAATAGGAAATGGAATTGGCATTGGCAATGGCAATGGAAATTCACAAATAGAAGAAAAAATAACTTTTCAGATTTCAGAGATGCAACTGTGGAAGACGATAAGGTGCTTTTGATCTGTAAACATATCTCCTATTTTCATTCTACTCTCTCTAATAATTACAAAAGCATCACTTTGTTTATGTTTCGTATCCTGTTTTCAAATATTTATACAAGAAATAGCAAAAACAAGATTTCCACAAGTCTGTAGAAACAGAAAACAAAGCAAAAACAATGCATCTTTTCTGTAATCATTACTTAAAAGAGAAAGCGAAAATAGAAATATATTTCCCCCATCCAAACCTCAGCATTTGAAAAATCCACTTCAGTTTCCAAATGTGTGTCCTCAGAATTATATTTCATTTTGACGTTAATCCAACCAAACGTATACCGCAGCAGTGAGAAAACAATCATAAAACCCTAAGAGAGTATAACAAATAATTTGAAATTCAACACAGAGCTTCACGTGTTTATAATAAACGTTCCAGTGAAAGCAAGTTATAGCTTCATACATCTTTTCCATCCAGTGCTACTCCAAAGTAAAATCAATTCATCAAATAAAGTGACAAGATAAAGTATCGAGATATGTCACAAAAGGATATCAATACCATATAAAAAGAGAGCGCATTCAATTGCTTAGGCCTGTTTAATGTCAAAACTCTCGCACACGATTTACGCTCCACCAGAACCTGTCGAAACAAAAACAAAAAATAATTAAGACAATTTTATTTTTAAAAAAAAGAAGAAAATGAAAAATAACAGAAACAGAAACAATCGAAGAAGTAAGAGTGTTCAAGCTAGTAGCGGAAGTTAAGCGACGATTGGAATTCACAGAATATTCTGAAGAGCAAGAGTGGTTCAAGTTCATGTGATGATAGAGAGAAAAAATGAAGAGCACTGGTGAAGTGAAGTTGAAGTTAATATTACATAACGTCAAGAATAGAGAGAGACCTGATTCTGATCGCCTTTGGAGAGGGAAGCCATAACGGTTTGGTTGGTGAGGGAAGTTCCCTGTTCCAGTCGGTGAAGGAGCACCCAAAATGTGGTGGTGCGCACTGGGCTGGTAAAAATTCATTATACATTACGTATATAATTTGAATCGTTAATTTTTATTTTTCTCTTTTTTATATATATTTATGCTTCTAAAAACTACAATTTAATTATATAAAAAATTATAGAAATGTCTCCCATAAAGAATACAACAAATATTTTCCTATGTGTACTAGATAAAGATCAACTCGGTCCCACTTGTAGGAAAAGGAAACCGAGTACCTATTCGGCATAATAGGCCGGATACTCCTCGTCAGGATTAAAAGGTAATTAACCCAATTAAGAGTAATAATCAAAAAATTATTTAAATCAGGAAAATGGGTCAAAGTATAAAGGCTGACCCAACAGGCCCATCAGCCCAATATAATGCCTATAAAAGGAAGGTAGGAAATACAGGTAAGGGGTTGACTTCTCATTATTAAATAGCATTTATTGCTCAGAACCGAATCCTGACTTCAGCATCGGAGTGCCTTTTGCAGGTACCCTTCTATATTAGTAGTAGTTAGAGAAACGTCAGCACGTCAAAGTAGAGACTTGAAGACCGTGTTATCCTGACAGGAACATTTTGGCACCCACCGTAGGGCACGATTAGCCTCATTTTTCAGAATTAAACATGGTACTATGAGAAGCCAGCAAGAAGGAACCTCTCGACAACAAATGGAGGGTGTCACACCAGAGGAATGAATACCTGAAGTAGTGATGCAAGGAGGAACAGATGAGAACATTTTAGCTGTACTGAGGCAGCTTAAGGCAGAAATGACAGAAATGAAGAAGGAGCGAGAGAAGGATGCATTGGAGCTTTCGGCTCTAAGAAGGGAAAATGCTAACCTAAGAGAAGAGATAAGGACACACATCCCCTCCCAAACTACACTCACCATCCGGGATCAGGAGGAGTCCTCGGCGTTGCAAGAAAAGTCAAAACAAGTTTATCAATCGGTAGCCAAAAATGACCGAGATGATCTAGTGAACCGAAGCCCATTTGTTCACTATATTCTGGAAGCCAAGCTGCCTGATAATTGGAGAGGATTGGCAATAGACAAGTATGATGGTACATCTGATCCTGGAGAACATGTGGATGTCTTTATAACCCAAGTCGGTCTGTACACAGAAAACGATGCTTTATGGTGTAGAATTTTTCCCACTTCACTCTGAGGGCCTGCACTCAGTTGGTTCACCCGACTCCCCCCTTTATTCATCGACTCTTTTGCAACTCTCATAAGACGTTTTAACTTGTAGTTTGCCACAAGCTAACCTCATCCCTTAACATCCCTGGCCCTAGTCAATATTCGCCAAGAAAAGGGAAAACCACTTAGAACGTTCATGGAACGCTTTGGCAAAGTGACTCTTTCAATCCATAACTTAGAACCAGCAGTGGCTATGCACCACCTCACAACAGCCTTAAAGCCAGGACCTTTTGTCAATAGCATCTGCAAAAAACCCCGCGTGGACCTAGACGAGTTAAGGAGTCGAGCTACAAAGTATATGCAGATGGAAGAATTATCTGAATACCGAAACTAGGTACGAATAGACCTAGGGTCCAATTCAAAAAATACAGACAGGAGAGAAGCTTTCAAGGCTAGGCAGGGAAACGAGAGAAGAAATGAACTTGAAAGGCCGCCCCGGGGACCTAAGTATCCTTCCTACACTACGCTCAACACTAACCGGTCCAGAGTACTTGATCAGGCATTGGCCACAGAAATATTGAGAATGCCTAGACGCGCCAACACTCCTCATCGGGCAGATTAAAGTAAGTCTTGCCGATACCATCAGAACAAGGGTCACACTACTAAGGAGTGCAGCGCGCTGAAAGACAAAATTGAAGAATTAATCAACGAAGGACATTTAAAAGATTTTGTACAGATAAATTCCATGGGGCAACCTAACAGAGGAAGAGACCGTTACCCTGAACCACCAAAGAGGTCTGACGACAAAAAATTTGAACGACATAGGAGCAAGTCCAGGGAACCCCCAACTAGAAGATATGATGAGCGTGAGAAGTATCCCAAAAGGGTCATTAACACCATAGCTGGAGGGTTTGCTGGTGGAGGACCTACCCATTCAGTCAGAAAGAGGTATCTTAGACATGTCCGTTCTGTTAATAATGTTTCATTGGGTAGCAGAATCCGGATCCCGCCTATTACGTTCACTGACAATGACTTTCAAGGAGTCGATCCGGTGCAGGATGATCCTATGGTCATTAGTGTAGACATTCTTAATTGCACTGTTCAGAAAACACTAATTGACCAAGGGAGCTCGGCTGACATCCTGTATTGGAATACGCTTAAGCAATTAGGCATCTCTGGAGAAGAGATCAGAGAATATAACGAACCGTTGGTCGGTTTTTCTGGGGAACGAGTAGAGCCTAGGGGATGTATTGACTTGTATACCTCGTTTGGATCAGAACATGAGGGAAAATGTATAAAAATTACTTATCTTGTAGTACGTGCGAACACCTCCTATAATATACTACTCGGCAGACCATCCCTGAATTAATTGAAGGCCATAGTATCCACTCCGCACTTAGCCATGAAGTTTCCATCTGAAAGAGGCCGAATCGTTACAGTCCATGCTGATCAGAAAATTGCCAGAGAATGCTACTTCGCAATCTTACGTCTTAGACCCTTTGATAGGAATAGCCGAGATGTCAATATTGTATCTCCTCGGTTGGGAGAGGACTTAGATGTTGAACTTGATCCAAGAATGGATGAGGGATATCGGGTTGAGCCTAATGAAAACAAGCAACCTTTCCAACTTGGAGCAAAACCAGAATAAGTTGCTTATTTAGGGGTCAGTTTGAATGCACAAGAAAAGAAAATTTTTCAGGAAATGCTACTGAATAATGCCAATTTGTTTGCTTGGACAGCCTCAGACATGCCTGGCATCGATCCGGCATTTCTTTGTCACCACTTATCGGTCTACAAGGGGGCCAAACCGATAGCTCAAAAGAAGAGAAAAATTGGTGGCGATAGAGTAAAGGCAGTAGAAGAAGAAACCGGCGAGCTACGACAGACTGGCTTTATCCGAGAAGTCAGGTATTCAACATGGTTAGCCAACGTCATCATGGTTAAAAAAGCCAACGACAAATGGCGAATGTGCACGGACTTCACGGACCTGAACAAAGCATGCCCAAAGGATGCATACCCCTACCAAACATTGATACCCTGGTCGATGGTGCAGCCGGTCACAGAATACTGAGTTTTTTGGATGCTTATTCTAGATATAATCAAATACGAATGTATCCCCCGGATGAGGAGAAAACAACATTCATCACAAATTTAGCAAATTTTTGTTACCGAGTGATGCTGTTCGATTTGAAGAATGCAGGGGCAACATACCGGCGACTAATGAACAAAATTTTCGAGAAGCAAGTGGGTAAATGCATGGAGGTGTATGTGGATGACATGGTGATTAAATCCCTCACATTGAAGCAACATCTTGACCACTTGGAGGCGGTATTCGGCGAAGCCAGGAAGCATGGTATAAGGTTCAATCCTGAAAAATGCACATTTGGTGTAACTGGCGGTAAATTCTTGGGTTTCATGTTGTCTGAAAGGGGGATTGAGGGAAACCCCGATAAATGTAAAGCCATCATCGACATGGCCAGCCCTCAGAATGTCAAGGACGTTCAACGACTGGCCGGGCAGATTGCAGCCCTCGCTAGATTCTTGCCAATAATGGCAGAAAGGTCTTGGCCTTTCATTGAATTATTGAAGAAATTCCAAAATTTTGCTTGGTCCAACGAATGTGAGGACGCCTTCGTCCAATACAAACATGTACTAGCAGCGCCGCCTGTGTTAACAAAACCAAAAACTGATCAGGAAATGATTGTTTATTTGGCCGTGTCCGATAATGCCATCAGTTTGGTTTTACTTCAAGAAACACCTGAATTGACCCCCGTATATTTCGTCAGCAGAACACTCCAAGGTCCTGAATCCTGGTATCAATTAATGGAGAAACTGGTACTTGCCCTAGTCCACACAGCTCGTCGGTTAAGACACTACTTTCAGAGTCATCGGATGGTGGTATGTACAGATTTTCCAATGGCCAAAATTTTGAGGAAGCTAGAATTGGCTAGTCGGTTGGTAGCATGGACAAGTGAACTATCTCAATTTGACATTCATTTTGAGAACCGACGCCCCCTTAAAGCTCAGGTGTTAGCCGACTTTGTCAATAAATTCACCGTACAACGACACACTACCTCAGACATGTGGAATCTGCACGTCGACAGATCATCAAAACGACTGGGTAGCGGAGCTGGGGTTATACTCGAAGGGCCGAACGCATTCGCCATTGAGCAATCCATTCAGTTTGGATTCAAGCCATCTAACAACCAAGCAAAGTACGTGGCTTTACTTGCCGGTCTTAGACTAGCAAAGGAGATGGGAGTTAAACGCATTACCAGTTGGAGTGATTCAAAAATTGTGGCCGAACAGGTTAATGATACATATCAGATTAGGGATCCGGTTATGCTTAAATATTACCAAGAATTCAAGAAAATAAAAGATGAATTTGACGAGGTATATGTTCGGCACATGCCAAGAAACATGAACGAATGGGCCGACAGGCTTGTTAGGCTGGCTAGCCAAAGGAAACCAGGCCAGTTCCACAGCGCAGTTCATCAAGAAATCCTCCAACCCAACATCACCAAACAAGAATGCATGAACGTAGAAAATTCATCTCATAATTGGATGACCCCACTCATCTGGTATATCATCGATGGCAGCTTACCAGAGGATACAACTTCAGCTAAGAAAATAAAAATGCACGCAACTAAGTACCTTTTTCTCGGCAAGCACTTGTACAGGAGAGGAATTTCAACTCCTATGCTTAAATGCCTAGACCACGACCAAGCTAACTACGTCATGAGGGAAATCCATGAAGAAATTTGTAGTACCCATTCAGGCAGAAGAACTATGGCAGCAAAAATACTCAGAGACGGATATTACTGGCCAACACTCACTCAAGATTGCCA